CCGCGTGCCCGCGCGCGAGGCCCCGCCGGCCGACGCGACGTGCTACGTGTGCCTCGACGGGGCCGAGCGCGCGCCGCTCCACCGCGACTGCGCGTGCCGCGGGTCGTCGGGCTGGGCCCACGTCGAGTGCCTCGCCGACGCGGGCAAGGCGAACGTGGACAACGCGTTCCTGTGCGGCATGTGCCGGAGCCTCTTCCAGGGCGCGGTGCAGCTCCGCCTCGCGCGCGCGCTCTGGCGCGCCAAGGCCGGCGAGGGCCGCGGCGCGCGCCTCGCGACGTCTATGGTCGCCGGCGCGCTGCTCCAGCACGGCGAGACGGCCGAGGCGCTCCGGCTCATGGAGCGCCTCGCGCGCGAGCCCACGGGCGACGCCGTCGAGGGCTTCCGCGTGGACCTGCAGCTCGCGACGGCCCACGACGAGCACGGCGACCCGCGGCGCGCCGAGGCGCTGCTCCGGAGCCTCGTGGGCCGCGCGACGGCGGAGCTCGGCGCCGAGCACCCCATGACGCTGACGGCGTCCGCGACGATGGGCGCGGTGCTGAACCGCCTCGGCGACGACGCCGAGGCGGCGGTCGTGATCCGGTCGACGCTCGGGGCCGCGCAGCACGTCTTCCCCGCCAACGACCCCTTCATCCTCTTCGTCGAGACGACGCTCGCGCACGTCCACGAGAACGAGGGCCGCGACGCGGACGCCGTCGCGCTCTACGAGCGCATCATCGCGGCCCAGAGCCGCAAGCTCGGGCCGAGCCACCCGGCCGTCTTCGTCCTCACGACGAACATGGCCGCGGCGCTGGCCAAGATCGACGGCCGGCGACGCGACGCGGAGCGGCTCCTCCGGGGCGCGTGCCAGCAGCTCGCCGCGGCCTGCGGGCCGGAGCACCCGGACGCGCTCTACGCGCGGAGCAAGCTCGCCTGGTGCGAGACCCACGGCTGGGACCCCGCCGAGCTCCGCCGTAACGTGGACTGGCGGTAGGCCGTCGGGTGGGGCCTCTGCAAGCCTTCTGCAATGTTGACGCTGCCGTATTTGGCGATTACGAAGCGATTGTGGCCACACGATGAGCTCCGCAAAGACGCGTGCGCCACCGGCCCTGATCTTCGCCGCCGGCGCCGTCGCCGGCGTCGCGGCGTGGAAGGCGCTGGAGAGACACCTGCGCCAGCGGCTCTACGCGGAGCGCTTCGCGGCGGGCCCGCGCCCTTCTCCCTGGCTGCGCCAGCTCACGAAGGTCGTCCTCGGCGGCGCGTCGAACCCCACGACGGCCGCCGGCGACGCCGCGGCCGCGGCGCCGCGCGCGTCGCTGCCGGCGGACGTCGTCCACGAGATGCTGTCGCGCCACGAGGCCTTCTTCGGGGCCGCGGGCCACGAACGCGTCCGCGGCGCGACCGTCGTCGTCTTCGGTTTGGGCGGCGTGGGCAGCCACTGCGCGGTCATGCTCGCGCGCGCCGGCGTCGCGGCGCTGCGGCTCGTGGACTTCGACCACGTGTCCCTGAGCTCGCTGAACCGCCACGCGGTCGCGACGTTGGACGACGTCGGGAGCCCGAAGGCGCGGGTCCTCGCGGACCACGTCGCCAAGGTCGCGCCCTTCGTCGCCGTCGAGGGCCTCCCCCAGATGGTCACGGCGGCCTGCGCCGAGGCCATGCTCGCGCCGGTCCACGGGCGGCCCGTGGACCTCGTCGTCGACTGCATCGACGACGTCGAGACCAAGGCCGCGCTGCTGGAGACGTGCTGCCGGCTGAACATCAAGGCGCTGAGCGCCATGGGCGCGGGCGCCAAGGCGGACCCGACGAAGCTCTGCGTGGCGCCCCTGGCCGACGCCGTCCACGACCCGCTGGCCGTGAAGCTGCGCTGGAAGCTGCGGCAAAGGGGGGTCGACTACGGCGGCGCGGAGCTCGAACCGGGGACCGCGGGCGCGCCGGGCGCGGCGGAGCGCGTCACGTGCGTCTACAGCTACGAGCAGCCGCGCTGCAGCTTGTTGCCGCTGAGCGACGCGCAGGTCGCCGCGGGCGCGAAGAACTTCGGCGCTGTCGACGTCGACCACTTCCGCGTGCGCGTCATGCCGGTGCTGGGCGCGTCGCCGGCGCTCATGGGCCACGCGCTCGCGGCCGTGGCGCTCTGCGGGCTCGCGGGCCAGCCCGTCTTACCGAAATCGCGGGAGCCGCTGTCGAAGAAGCTCAAGGAGAAGATGCTGATCCAGCTGCGGAAGCGCGAGGCGCGACGGGAACGGGGGCCGGACGCGCGGCCCGAGGACTGCTCCTGGGCCGACCTCGCCAACGCGGACATGGAGTACGTCGTCAACGACGTCTGGCGTGGCCGCTGCGCGGCGACGCGGCGCAAGCTCGAGCGGAAGCCGCTGGCGCTCACGCGGTGGTGGCGCTGCGCGCGGCCGCTCGCGCCCTTCGCCGCGGGCGCGGCGCCGCCGCGGGACGGCGGGCCCGCGGTCGCCGCGGACGCGCTCGTGCTCCTCGCGCCCCACCTCGCCGACGCCCTCGACGCCGCTCTCGACGCCGCCGCGGCCGCGGGCGCGACGGGCGACGCGGACCTCGCGCGCGCGGCCGCGGCCGCGCTCGGGGACGACGTCGCCGCGGAGATCGACGCGAGAATAGTCGCGCTCCGGGCCGCCGCGGGCGGCGCGTTCTAACATCGCGAAGGTCGGCGCGGAGAGGAACGCGGGGGCGACGACACCAAGGCCAAGCACGACTCGCCCGGGGCCCGCGTGCAAGCGCGGCATCTCGAGCTCGGGCGACGACGCGGGCCCCGGGGTAAAGATTTAGGCTATACTCGCGCGTCGAGGTGCGCGAGGGACTTTATAGCTTCCTCGTCGTCCTTGGCAGCGGCGCGCCCGAACCAGTATCTGGCTTTGCCGAGGTCGACTTCCGTGCCTTCTCCGTCCTTGTAACACCAGCCAAGGCTATGCTCCGCATCGGTATAGCCTTGATCCGCCGCGAGCGCGTAGTACCGGAACGCTTCTTCGAATTTCTTTTCAGAATCAAGTACGCACGCTAAATTGCGTTGCGCGAGTGCGGAGCCTCGCTCCGCGGCCGCCCGATACAGCCGCTCCGCCTTTTTCTTGTCCAGCTTGACGCCACTCCCAGTCTCGTACAAGAACCCAAGATTAATGACCGCGTCCACGTCCCCAAGCTCCACGGCGCGCCGGTAAATCTTCGCGGCTTTCTTATCGGATTTCACGAGGCCGTAGTGACCGCAGCGGTACACACTTCCCAAATGCGAAATCGCTTCCGGCACGTCGTTCTCCACATGGCGGCGCAGACGCGCGAGGTTTTCCGCGTTATCTTCCGGGTACGGTAATCGACAGAGAGCACACGCCTCGAATCCGATCTTGTCCTGGCACGATCGGCAGACCATCCGGCAGCAACAGACGCGAAGCACGGGCGTCGCATTCACGTCCCACGCCTCGAGACAGATCGGGCACCGCGACCCAAACCGCGCCGACAGCGGCTCCCGCTCCGGGTTCGCCTCGCGCAGGGCACGAGCCGCCTCGTGTTCCGCCGCGATGCGCGCGCGGACCTCGTCGGCGTGCGACCGCGGCGCGGGGCCGTAGAACACGTCCCGCGGCGGCGACGGCGCGCGCGTCGGCGCTTCGGCCCGCGGGATCCTCCGCGGCCTGGATCTTCTTGCAGACCTTCCGGTGGCCCCGGTCGCGCCAGTCGATGCGTTGGCAGTCCGTCGAACAGTAGGCCGTCGTGCCGCACCCTTTACACAGCCGGGCATCCTTCTTCCCGCAAATCGTGCATATGTTGAGCGCCAGCTTTGTACGA